CATCTGCGAAATCCAGAATTTCATGGGTCCTCTTATAATTATAATGCTTTATTTCAGACAATATGAGAACACATGGAACAAACATTTTCAGCGTATCCAGTTCCCAAATACATTTTTCTTCATACAGGATTTACATGTAAAGTAATAATCTGAAGTATCTCTACATTTCGTTGAAGAATTGCACTGCGTTTGTTTGAAAGCAAGTTAAATCAGTGCGTAGGTACATGTAGAGGTCATTTCGACGATTCAAACAATGTCAAATCCAGATAGAATTAAGCATTTTAGTAGCACAATGACTCAAGCAGACTGCCCTTCATCTGTCCAGGTCAGTCCTGCCTGTCTCATTTTTCAGTCAACTGTAATCAGAAATATTATCGGTGATAGCAAGCAGCCTTGTCTTCACGAACATCCACTTCACTTTGACATGGAGGACCGCACAAATTCCCATTACAACTTCAAGACATCTGTCTAGTATTTTTCAGTGAGCATGAAATCGATATTTAATTAGTAGGTCAATAACAAAATCTCCACTGGTATTGTTCTAAATCTCTTAGAAATTCATAATTTGAAGATATTTTGTTATTTAGAGTTGAGTTACTTATTAGTAGTGTATTTTGTAGTAAAAAACTTATCCCTCAAATGAAATTTAGGCTTTACTGCCAGCAAATCGTGATATTTATATTAATAGGCTATCTATCGTAAACTTAGTCACCAATTGATCGATTCTAATAGGTATGAGTTTCATTTAATCGTCAGTGTAGTGTCCTGTCTTGAAATCTGACTGTACAAATTGTTAAATTGTGAATTAGAAACTCACTTTGAAAGGAGACATTATTATAAGTTGAAATAATGTGAAGAAGGATTAAGATGACACGATATTTAACGGGAAGTTGATCTTTGTTATTTCCCACCCATGAAGTAATACTGCATCTCAAACAAATATTAGTCAGAGGAAATAGACTAGTTATCATAGTAATAAAGGTTTTCTGAATTTCTCTATGAATGAAAAACAAAACGATATTGTTTTCACTGACGTTTCTCTATTTAATGCCAATAGCTTTGTCAGAGTAGTATTATTAAACCGGAATTTACAAAATCTCAGCTAATATATAACAACTTAATCATCGTTCATCAGCATGGGGGCACTTTTATGTTGTCAAGTTAGCCAATTGGTAAAGATATCAAAACTAGGTGTAGATTGTTGGATTTGATAAGCGTTTAAAGTTATAAAAGCAGCGTGTGTTTACATAATGAAACCGCTTACCACATTCGTGTTGATTTTGTCATTTCATGGAGGAGTGGGATGTGTTGTAACCAGGTCAAATCCCGTTTTAGTCCATCACTCCTATTCAGACAATTTGTATCTCAGTTGATATGAAGTGCTTCTGATGATTTGAGACGTTCTTTGTGATTTCTGAAATTTTTCTGGATTATGTCAATATTGTCAAAATAAATTTTGTGACCTAATTCTATAGCGTGTAGACGAGCTATGGCTGATGATTTTTCAAGCTTTTCCAGTTCACTAATTGGATTTCTTGGTGGTCGAACAGATGTTCTGCTCTACGGTGTTCATTTCTTCTGACTACCTTGATTTCTCTCTGGCGATGTCTGTCCGATGTATATCGCATCACATTCCAAGCAAGCATTTTATTTTATACACACAATTTGATAGACAATTAAAAGCAACCGGTTCTTAATGCTCTTATTCCATCATCCTCTGAATAGCCTTCTCCCAACCTACTGCACAAATGTGCAGCACAGCAAACGTTCATTTATTTACTCAGCTCCGCACAGAAAGTTCTAGTAAGAAATCGTGATCAGCAGGACCTGCCAAGTTAGAAAAATGTAGGGTTACTGGCCGGTGACATTGGCTAGTGGTTGCGTTATGTTTCTCAAATATGAAGCTAAAATCAAGGCAGCCCAAGCTACCAACAATTCCCCAAAAGGCCTTATTCCCACAAATTCAGTTCCTCGGAGATAACATGAGCGAGATACTCACGCAACGCCTTAGGAGTAGGCCGCTTAAAAGAGCATTCCCTGCTGCTGAATTACGCTGTTTCTTCAAAACCACCGCTATTTTGCTTTCGGTAGTAAAAGATAAACTGCCTAATCTTGCCTCTTCGATGTGTATCTACCAATTTAACTGATCCTGTGGAGCCAGTTAGTGGCATTGGACTTCCGAACATCACCCCGCATGATTAAGTAAAGGACAAACAAAATCCATTCATAGCTCTACTCCACCTCATCTTATGGATACAGAACACAAGATTGATGTCAACGAGGCGGCTTTCAAAGTCATCTACCGCATACTAACTAATCTTAACTTTACCTTAAGAGTTCATCTACTCCATGTTGCTGAGGCCGTTGGGATCCACATTAAGGAGCCCAAATTATTTGTCCAAAAGAAGAAATTAGTTTAGACATTGTTCTTACCTTGGCCATCTAGGTTTAAATGATCTTCAATATTTTGTAGAAATTTCTTTAATTTTATTTGATATTTTATTTGCCATTATATTATTATTATTATTATAATTTAAGCGTCTTTCTTGAACTGTAATTCCATTGATCTTACTTAACAAATCGATATTACTTAAAAAGCACTAATATTGTTATTGACTACTATTCTAGAATATTCTATGTATATAAAATTGTGTATATAGTTGTAGAGCCAGAAGAGGAAATTATCGAAAAGCATATTCTTTGCTCAATTATTTTGTTTTTCATAGATATCTCAAAATAACAGAAGTTAGAATTCATGGGCTGACCATCTCAGTGACTAAATAGTCCACGAGCTCACCTTGTAACCAGAAGTTCTCGGGTTGAAAACCCACTGACTGCCTACAGCTGCTTTCATCCCAACCTAGGGAAAAACAGCGGTCCAGTACCCCATAGTTTTCCCAGTGGTTCTTGAACTAATGCGTCAGTTTGAGATCAAACGTTTAACCAATCAAGTGTCTAAAAACTAGTACCTATTCAGATCTATCTTTTCAAGGCTGGAAACACATATCCTGTGGGGAATTTCAAGCTTCGTGCTTTTCACTAATTCTATTAGACTCCGACTAATTTCATTATGGGAATCTTGTACCATGCCCCTACTTAGTTCCCCCAAAGTAGTAAAACACTGCAATATAATGATTAGATATATAAAACACAAAATAATGGAGCAAAGAATATTCTTTTCGATAAATTCCTCTTCCAGGCTCTACAATTAAATGTATGTGTATTTACACAGAATATTCTAGATTAGTAGTTAATAACAATATTAGCGTTTTTTAAATAATATCGATTTGTAAAGTAGGATTAGTGGAATTACAGTTCATTAAAGATGCTTAAATTATAATAATAGTAATAAAGATATAGTAGCAAATAGAATATCAACTAAAATTAGGAAAACTCCACAAAAATTCAGGATCTTTCAAACCTGGATGGCCAAGGTAATGATAATGACTGAACTAACTTCTTTTGGGTGCATAAATTAGGCTTATTAATATGAATTCCCACGGCCTCAGCAATATTTAGAAGTCGAACTCTTAAAGGGAAATTGAGATTCGTAGGTATGCGGTAAATGACCCTGAAAGCATGATTAACGTCAATCTTGTGTTCTGTCTCCACAAGATGCGCCAGAATAGCGCTGCGAATAGATTTTGTTTGACCTTTGCTTAACCACCACACAGGGTGATGTTCGGAAATTCGACGAGAAACACGCCTAATTGTACGGCCTATGTGACTGTCTCACTCCAAAGGAGCAGTTAAATTGGTAGATACACATGGAAGAGGAGAAATTAGGCAGTTTATCTTTTATTCCCGAAGGCAGAAGAGGAGTGGTTTTGAAGATACAGCGTAATTGAGCAGCAGGGAATGCTCTTTTCACCGCATTTCTGAGGCGATGTGTTAGTATCTCACTTGTGTTTTCTCCTAGGAACTGCATCTGTAAGAACAAGGCTTTCTTTGGAACTGTTGGTAACTTGGACTGTTTTGGTTTTAGATTCATATTGTTATCAATAAACTTTTCGGGATAACCATTCTCACTTAGCAACCGTTTAATATTGTTAAGCTCCTCGTCAAGACATTCATCCGAGCAAATCTCTCTTGCTCTGTGGACCAAGCACTTTATTAGATTGCGTTTGTATTTCAAGAGCACAAAGCTGAGAAAATGTGTGTACTGGCCCGTTGATGTAGGTTTTCTATAAACACTTCTCCTTATTGTGCCATCCTCTTTTCTGGTCATAAGGACGTCTAAAAATGAAATACTAGAATCTTTTTCTTTCTCAATAGTAAAATTTATTGCAGGATGTACCTCATTAAATTTATCCAGGATGTTCTTTGCCTACTTTTCGTTCTTCATAATCAAAAGAGTATCATCCATGTATCGACAATAAAATTCGAGTTCATTAATAACATCCTTCAAAGGCCCATTTTCTAGTTTCGCCAGGAAAATGTCGGCTAGAATGGGTCCTAGTGGCGACCCCATTGCCACACCGTCGATTTGTCTATACAGTTCCTTATTAAATAAAAAGTGGAAATTCATTGTACATTTTAAGAGAAGCTCCTTCATGGAAGATATAGGAATGCCAACCTCGACGTTTCGTCTTTTGAGTTCTTCACATACAAAGTCGTCTACTGTTTCCATAGATGGTAAACATTCGTGAGTAAGGAAGATACGTCAAATGATGTCATGAATTTATTATCAACATTTAAATCTCTTATCCTTTCAATGAATCCAAATGTATCCTTTACACTATGTTTCACCAACTCAGTATGAAGGGGCTGTAAGAGTTTAACTAACCATTTGGCTACCGGATGGTATATATATATATTTATCAAAGTATCAAAAGTTATGAATTCTGATCACTTATGATTTACAGTGAGTATCTTTCCAGTAAAATAAATGAAGATTTATCAAAATTCTAAATCAATCTGTCCAATATATCCCATTTATATACTTTACAATACATGTATATATTATGAATACATACTATATAATCTGGAAACAAGCAATACGATAATGAAGAAGAAAGAGAATGGATAAAGCAGAGTGAACATCAATCACGTTAAATCGAAAATTGTGAGTGTCACTTTAAAAAAAAGAAAGATTAAAAAAATATGCAGCAGTTGAAGAGGCAACATTAATTTTCTATCCTGAATGCATTGATTATACATAATTCATAGGGTAAACAGGCAATTGATAGCCGGTTTCATGAATTACATGAATTAGTTAGTCAGTTAGTTAGTTGACTAACTATCAGTGATGTTTGATGATGAACTATTTCGACGATTCATTCGATTCGATCGACGATCAATTAAAATATTTGGTCCAGTTGATTTTCCTGATGTTCGTCTCTTGAATTGAGCATCATTTATGCTGACAGAACTTGATATCGACCGTTCATCGGTATCTTCTAAGTGTGTAGTTAACTGGCTAGGTTGATGTTGTGGTTGGTGTTGTTGCTGTTGCTGTGGTCGACTTGATTTCTCTTCTCTTGTAATTGTGATAGTTCTTCTTGGTGATGGAGATGACGATGGTGAGAGTGCTGATGGAGATGGAAGTGGTTGGGGTGCTGGTGGTGGTAGAGAGTCATTTTTCACTGCTTTAGGGAAGTGGATCTAATAGAAAAAAAAGGGAATGAAATTGACCTTTATCTAAAGTCACATAGGAATGAACTGTGATAGGCGACATAACACTGAACACTAATCTTAATATGTACAAAATTCCAAAAAGGCAATGCACGAAAGCCATTTTACAATCAGAAAACAAAAATATTCTCAAAATAGATTCTGTCAGATGCAGATCTGGACTTCGCCGATGATATATGTGTCTGATTTCCCACAAACTGGAAGATATGCAAGCGAAAAGCAACAAGTTGGCAGAAGAAGCACCCAGAGATGATAGGACTTCAGGTGAACATAGAGAAAACAGAGGTGATGAAGATTCCTGGCCAACACCACCAACAGCAACAACAACAACAGACAACGATCAGCCAGCATAAATGGGAGGAACCTGAAAGAAACAACCTCTTTTACCTACCTGGGAAGCATCGTTTCAACTACAGGCGGATGGAACTGACAAGGATATCAAAGCAAGAATCGGGAAAGCAAGACAAGCTTTCACTACTCTCAAGTCTGTGTGGAGGTCAACAGCACTCAGCATCAAAAATAAGGTCCAGATTTTCAACTCCAATGTGTAGTCAGTCACTGCTACTCTACGGATTAGAAACTTGGTGCTTTATGAAGAGCACCTCAAACAAACTACAGACCTTCATTAACAGTTGTCTTCGCTCAGTACTCAAGATCAGATGGCCGGCCAGAAAAGATCAGCAACAGCAAGGGATCTCTGGCAATGAGAAAACCAACCAGGAACCGATTGTGAAACAAATAGGCAGGAAGAAATGGAGATAGATTGGCCATACTCTTAGGAAACCATCAAGTGACATCACTAGACAAGCCATTGCTCGAGTGGAACCCGAATGGGAAGCGGCGAGTTGGTCGTCACTGCGAGGGTGACTTGGAGGAGGTCATGTGAAGAGGAGATGAAAGCATGTGGGCAGACTTGGAGCCAGGTGAAGATTCTAGCAGAGAACAGAACGCAATGGAGAAGTGAGGCTGAAGCCCTATGTTCCTTTAGGAATTAAAGGAAACAATAATAATAATAAGATGTAGAATTCACTTAGCCAGTGAACCATTTCTAGTCACTGAATACGTCCATTCTCATGCATCAGTTTACGTAGTACTATTACCAACGATCCCTCTCCCGACCTCGTGAACTTGGCTTTTGTTGTGGTCATGGGTGCATACTGATGAAGAGTCGAAATAAATAGGACGAAATGTTACCCCATAATCAACCTTGAGTCCAAAACTAGGACGAAACAGCTGTCCGGTACTCCCTGGATGGTTTTCCAATAGTTCTCTAACTGATTGATGTCAGCTCATGATGAAATCCTCCAACCAATCAAACAAAATCCCTAAAGAAACCAATACTTGAAAATTCATCTGATGCTCACTAGCGACTGGCCCTATTCAGGCAGTTAATCTGGGGTTCTGGTGGGACCAACCGTGACCAGTAGGATGCAGCAGGTTGAAGATGAGGCAGTTACTTATCGAAGAAGACATTGCGAAGTGGTCGCGCTATGTCATGAATTGGCAGGAGTTAGAATTCATGGACTGGCCATTGGATCGGGTAGGTCTCAGTGGCTTAATGATCTATGAGCTCACTAGCCTTGTAACCAGAAGATCCTGGGTTCGAACCCCAGTGGGGTGGATGCGTACTGATGAAGAGTCCCAAACTAGGATAACAGAAACAGTTGGCTGTCTAGTACTCCCTGGACGTTTTCCAATGGTTTCCTAACCGATGTCAGTCAGGTCATGATGAAATCTTCCAACCAGTCATACAAAATCCCTACAAAACCAATACTTGCGACATTGAAATCAGTTAAATTCTTGCAAAGGAACACTTAAAAATCAAAACCTGATTCACTCTAGTGACTGACTGTAGGATGCAGTTACCTGAAGTAGTTCTAGTGAGAACACTTGACCAGCAGGATCCACCAAGCTGGAGGATGTAATGACAAACACTAGGTGATGACATTAACTGGAGGTTACACTATACATATATATATCTCATTGTCTGACCATCATATCTCTTTCCAGTGTTTGAATGATGAGTTCGCCTTGTCACCTGAACGTTTTGCGTTCTTTCTGATGAGGAGTCTCAAACTTGGAAGAAATAGCCGTCCAGTACATCCTAGTTTTCGGTAGTACTCTAACTGTTGTAGTTTTGTGACCCCACTGCAAAACATTCAACTGTTCCTCGACCTTAGTTATCAGAATATCGTTTTCAAGGCGTTCGATCATTAACGCCATCAATCTATAGGAATCAAGTCACCTGGCAGTTGTCAACAAAGTTACTACTGTCGATACAAGTCGACGAGGGGATAAGAGAAACCCCTCAGATAAATGAGGGTGATGAAGTTCACCTGGGTGAGATAATTATTCTGCTCCTACAGAATACTAAAGTTTTACTTTTATATTTATTCAATTATTGGTTTTCGCGTGAAACTATGTACTACTGATAGATCGAGGTGAGTAGTCGTTTAGCACCTACATCAACTAGTAGTCTTTGTCAGCTAGCCAACCAGTTAGATCGAAGTGATTTAGATACCGGAAGGCAGTTTCACTCTTTTTTTTGGGGGGGGGGGTTGAGCTAATCAATAAATAAGAATTGATAATTTGCGAACTGGTTAGCAATTCGTAATTAACACAACCGGAGGGTTGCGGCGAAGTATGTCTTCCTCAGAGATTTGCAGAGACATTTACGAAGGATTCCTACTTCCATGTCACCTTTGAATTCTAGATTAAGCAGAAGACAAGAAACGCCGACAACTCTCTAAAAGGATCCATCTACAAAGTGCCTACATGGACTGGACAATTCATCAACTTTCAAAGCTTCGTGCCCCTGAGCAGAAAGAGGAGCCTGATATACGCTCTTTCCTCGAGGATTCAGAAGATATGCAGCGAGGAAGTGATTGGCGAAGAATTGCGTAATCTCCGAAAAACCCTGGTGGAAAACGGTTTTCCGCCCAGGTTCATAGACTAGAATCTAAAATCAAAGAAGACTTCTGAACAAGTTCAATCTGTCCCGAAGAAGATACTTGTGCTTAATCTAGAATTCAAAGTTGACAGTGAAGCGGAAATCCTTCGTAAACGCCTCTCCAAATCTTTGAGGAAGGTAAAATTCACCGCAAGCCTACGGCTAACGTTTTTCTGCAAGAAACTGTCCAGCCAGAACGCGAAAGACAAGCTGTCGCATTGAGCCACTTCAACGTGCATATAACAGTTTACTTGCTCTTGCGGAGCTGAGTACATCGGCCATACCATGCATCAACTTGAAAAACGCGCTTGTGAACACTACCCAGCCTGGCTAGTAAAAGGAGAACGAAGACGTGTATATAGTTCAATGACAGAACATCTGATCAATTCAGGACATTCAGCGCCATTCGAAAAATCCTTCAAAATCATACACAAGATTCGATCAAACTTATCAAAGGGAGTAAAACCAAGACATCTGGGCATAGCCGAGGCACTAGCCATCCAATAGCTCAAACCCACCCTATGTATCCAAAAGAAATACCTTCAGCCCTTGTCGCTGCCGTGGCCATCATAAACAGGTAATTCTTTTAATAGTGACTATTTCATTGACTTAGATTCAGGATCTTTGTTGACATGCTGGCTCCTGACATGGGTGTTTTGACAATGTCTAAAGATTAACATAGCGTCATTTCGATGACGGTGACTGGCAGAGGAATCTTGGACGTGGGTTTTGTCCTATTCTCGGACTCGTCATCTGAACGTGTCTGCATTTTTAGTCAGTGATGGTGTTTGAAGGTTTGGGTTCTGGGTTCGAGTCTCAAGGGGAACACTGCAACTCGCAAGAGGTGTTCACTTACATCCAGCTAATGAATTTCAAATAGAAGTCAGGTGTGTATTCTGGAGTCTACTGCTGGCCTGTATCAATCAAATAATTTTACACATTCATTTGGAAAGTGAATAGTTCTCATGGAAATAGATATTTCTCTTTGTTTTCTCTCTCTATATTTTTCATACATTAACTTAGGGTAGGGCTTCTTGCGTGAAAGTCATTCACTTGTCGATCAAGTTTCTGTAATATTCATCTACAGTGAGTGGATTATGTGGTAGGTGTATTTCAAGTCAATGGAAGTGAGAAATCATAGATGATAAGATATCGTTTCAATAAATGATTGTTAGTAAATTTGCATTGTGATGCGTTTCATTTTCTTCTCGAAAGATGCATAATACTGAGGAGTTTCAAATGAAAGCGAAACAGAAGGTAAAGAAATCTATTATTAATATTATTATTATCATCATAATTCCCTTGGGATTCGAGGGAAACATAGGGATTTAACAGCACATTTGAGTCCTACCTTGTTCTCTGCTCTCTTTCTGAGCTGGTTCCATGATTGCTTGTTAGGTTTCATTCCCTCCTCACACGATCACCGACATGATACCCTCGGACCCACCTCCAACTTTCCATTTACCATTAACCTCTCATTTGAGGGTCTAACTGGGGCGTGATGTCACCCAATGGACTCCCCAGAGTATGCTAAATCCACCTCTACTTCCTTCCACTAATTTATTTGTTTGTCTGCTGCCTGACAGACTTTTGCCTTTTCTTTCTGGCTGGCCATCTGATCCTCAGTATGGAGAGAAGGCACTTGTTGATGAAAGTCTGTGACAGTCTGTTAAAAATGCTTTTTGTGACGCTTATGCTAAGTCTATGAGTCATTTTATTTATTTGTTTTTTAACAATTTTATTACAGCTTGACTCCACAAAGTACTTTTGATACAAATATGGAATTCTCAGCATGCGATATCGGTAACCCAAATTTTGCAGGCCGACCATTGATATCGGGTGTGCGTCGGCCGGGGATCGGTCCCTGGACCATGTGTATGGTCGACTAGCGTCCTAACCGCTGTGCCACCGAGAGGCCTCTCCACCGACAAAAACTACACGCCCGAGCGCACTCGATTACAGTCCATCGCAAGTTTCAACCCACCGAGGTTTAATGGTGAGTCTCCACTCAGGATCAGAGCATTCTTGATCACCCTGAAATCGGTGCTAGTTAAGTCATGCGAAAGCACTGACTGCGTTTACACATTAGTGCTGAAAATATGCATCTTATTCTTTATGCTGGGTTCAGCAGATTCCATTAGGATTTCATATTTAATGAAGATATGTCCTGCTTTTACGATCCTGTCTGACCTTGATGTCCTCATCTGTTCCGTCCGCCCTGTAGTCGAAACTATGCCGCATAGATAAGTGGAAGAAGCGACTTCCTGCAAATTTTCCACGCTGATATTTACTAGTGCTTGTTATTGGTTAGGTCTCCTCTTTATGTCCATTTGAAGCCCCGTTTTTGCTGTTGGTTCTTGCCTGTGGAGCTTCAAGTTTTTGCGACACTAAATATAAATTTATCTTACATACACATACATGTACAAGAGTACCGATTAATTAAGTTAATTAAGTATATTGGCCGTACGCAACGTCAAGTCCATAAACGTATTCTGGAACACTGCCCAGCTTGGTTATCCGGAGGAGAAAAGAAGAATAGCAACAGCTCGATCCTCGAACACTTGGTTATCTCTGGACATCGAGCACACCCACATGAATGCTTCACAGTGTTACACAGAGTCCCTCAATATTGTACAAAGGGACTTCGGATACGCCATCTGTACATAGCTGAAGCATTAGCTATTCGGCATCTGAAACCGGACCTATGCATCCAAAAGCGATACATACATTCTGTTGCCCCACCATGGCCAGAGTAAAGTTCTTACTACAATTTTGCTTCTTTCCTTTATTATGTAAGTTCACTATTGTTATTATTATTTCATTTTATTAATACTTTTATTATCATTATTATTCCCATCATCCACATTTTATTACCACTCTATTACTGTTTATTAATAACATTGCTTTTCATACATATTTTATACAGAAACACTTTATCACCTTTCCACTAGTTCCCGTCCACTCTACACGAGCTCATTGATTAGTCATTATCTCACACTTACTACGTCATACCAACTCCTGTCTCTTTTCTAACTTACAATTAGTCATCCCTTCTTACACCTTACATTATGTAATACAATTTTCCAAGGACAAAATTTACCAGTATCTGATTGGTCTAAAGATTTTTTTGTTAATTATAATTACTATTGTACAGCTCATGAAAATGAATCGTCGAAAAGAAAATTTTCTTCGCTGTTTGTGCCTTTTTCTTATGATTCAATATGGGAATATTTCGTTCAATTAAGTTAAAGTTCCACAGACAGAGTAAAAGGACTTACAGATTGGTGATTATCAATAGCATCTGATACATGTTTACGATCATATTCTCTTATGATTTCTGGAACGTTTCGTTTAGATGTTGTCTGTGGTGGTTGTGATAGTTGTTGTTGTTGCTGTTGTCGTTGTTGTGGAGGTGGCAGTGGCGGTAGCGGCGATGATGATGTTGCTGAATAGGCTTCATTCACCTTACCTTGAATATGATTTATCTAAAAGAATGGTTTTAAATAACAAACAGATCAATAAAGGGTGTATATATATATGTCTTCAGAAACGAAGTATGCGTTCTTCTTTTTGACCTCATGCTATTCAATAAGCACAGATATGTAAGACTAACACCAAATTTTCCCACAACATCAATAAATTATAATTATAGTGTATATTATGTAACATTCTGGAGTAATTCACAAGACAACAGTTAAATCATCCCAGAAAAGTGACTTTATGTTACGCTGGTAATGAAATGATGGTAAGACAAAGTTTGTTACTCGCCACTCATGCAGTTCACGGTGAAAATGCACTAAAGAGCATACTATATATATATATATATATGTATACATATAGCCTGTTTGATAACATAGCGTGACAATAAGACGACAAGTAAGCAAGCCTTACTTGCTAGATCAATGTGTGACAACAATGATTAGTGCTCACTACGCTGGGGGTAAAGTGAAGTTCTCTTAAAATAATCGAGTAAATTTGTGGCTTAGGTGGATGGTTTTGATGGGACTGCGTTTTCTGAGCCACGGGAAGGGGGGGAGATTTAATTGTGCGAAGCTTTCAGCGTCTTTCTTCAGGACAATATCACCACAGCAAAATTAAGAATGAAGTAAACTTAATAGAATTCGTTACAGGATTTCATCATGAGCTGACATTGGTTAGAGAACCATTGGAAAACCTGCTGGGAGTACTGGACAGCTGTTTCCTCAGTCCTAGTGTGGAACTCTTCAGCAGTACGCACCCACCGGGATTCGAAACTAGGACCTTCTGGTTACAAGGCGAGCTCGTATACCATTAAGCCACTGGGGACCGATCCAATGGCTCATCAGTTCACGATATAGCGCAACCGCTAGCCAATGTCTTCGGCGATTATTTGTCCTCACACCCGACCCGCTGCACCCTACCGGTCACGACTTCGCCCTAGAACCCCAGGTAACTACCTACCTGAATAGGGCCAGTCGCCAGTGAGCATCTCATTGATATTCAAGTATTGATTTGTAGGGATTTTGCAAGTCTGACAGAGTAATGCAGAAACCCAGTGAAGGGTCCAGGCGCTTTTCTCAAATCGCAGAAAATCCCCATCAGGACATTAGAGAGGAAAGAAGAAGAAATTCAGTAAGGATATTTCTTTGGAGATCTCCTCCTCAAAATCTGTACTGCCGCACTTTTACACATAAGTTTATATGGTTATTAGCTAATTCCACGTGGTAACCAAAAAAGGAAACTAAAGGTGATGGTAGTTTTCAACATGATATGGAAGTTTGAAGGTGTGAATATAGATTACAAAGGGCTTAGAAACAAAATTACACTGGATTAGAAAATAAGAGGGTTTTGTGTTAAATACATCTCTTAACGAATACAGGTGTGAATGGGATGAGCATAGAAACAAATTGGAAAAACAGAATTTGTATAACTGAAATGAAAAACCGAAAAAGCAAAAATCAAATGGGAGTCAAACCGAATTAGATACATGGTATGTGTAGAGGTTGAACTAGTTTCTTTCGAATACATGACTCCGGTTTTTCGATGCAAATGGCGAGGGATTCTGCAATACAAGGCAGTTGGAAACACATGGCCTTTGGTAGATTTTTATTTACTTTGTAAGTGTGATATGATTATGATCAATAAATTGTGTTCGAAACGTTATCAGTAAATTCTTTTTTTATTCCTTCACGTTCCCAGTGGAACATAGGGCCTTCAAGCTAGAGACTTGAAGTTTCAGTGGCAGTGGTGTTTATTTTTACAGGATGGGGTTGCTAGCCTCATGCCCAGCCTTCCCCCTTTACCAGAGCTAGATAAAGAAGTGTGTTGGTGGCCGGGGATCGAACCCCGAACCACATGAATGGTCAGTGAGCGTCTTAACCGCTGGGCCATCGATGCACACAAAACCTGGGAGTACTGGACAGCTTCCTCCTTCGTCCCAGTCAGGGACTCTTCACCAGCGGGGTTCGAACCCAGGACCTTCCGGTTACAAGACAAGCTCCTATACCATTCAGCCACTGGGACCCATCATCACGAAATATTACCGTAAAACAGACTGAGATTTTATCAGAATAAATTTTACCCACAATGGAACTTTGTAAGTAACCCTGAATGGTGAGTTGTTCGCGATGCTGCGACAAGTGTTGCTTGACGACGTGTTCAAATAACAACGCTACTTACTGAACCAATGCCTTCTGTCTGCTGTCATGTTGGGTGGTGTTCCCTCATACGTTTTAACAGGACTCACATTGAGCGACCTATATACTTAGCTCCTCAGGAACGGGTGAACTAATACACACACACTGGAGTGGTAATATGCGGAGGTTTGTCATGCATGCGGTTCAGAAGCAGTAGGTAGCTACATAATATCACCCTTAGAGTTACTTCAGGAGAGGTCTTCATTTTTAACGGAACTGGAGATTTTCCTCTTTAAGATATCCCCTGAACTTCAGGTCCAAATAAGGTATTTTCCTTAGTACTGAAAGGCATTCTTCACTTTTCCGTTTTGGTTTGATGCTTCCAACTTCTCTTTACTGCAGAATCCCTCGCTGTTTCCATCGAAAAGCCGGAGCTATGTCATCAAAAGTAACTAGTCCAACCTGTACACTAACCATGCATCTAATTTGGTTTGACTCCCCCCTGATTTCTGCTTTTTCGTTTTTTTTTTCAATTTATTTCTGTGCTCATCCCATTCACAGCTGTATTCGTTAAAAGAAGTATTTTACATATAACCCTATTATCTTCTAATCCTATATTATTTTGTTTCTAAGCCCGTTGTACTCTATATTTACACCTTCGGACTTCCATATCACGTTGAAAATCACCAGCACCTTTAGTGTCCTCTTTTGGTTAACATGTGGAATGAAGTAATAATGACTGTATCTATGCCTATTTGTGTATATAAATGCGATTGCATAGCTTTTGAGGATGAAATCTCCGAAAAGATTTCTTTACTGAGCTTCCTCTTCAGTTTCTCTTACTTTAATTCTATTTGGATGATATAATTCTGTTTCCTGACGAATTTTGTCGAGATTGGTTGTTAATCTGCATCAGTTCTGATGGTTTTCATTCATTTGGATTTAGGCTTTGTCTCATACAGTTTTGTGTTTATGAGTTGATAAACGACTTATAATGTGTCTGATGACCGCTGATTCGTGTGACTACCAGACTCCTAATAATTCCCCGGCGGTTTTCGATTTTGTCAGCATGCATCGATATGAAAGAATACTCACCGTATCCTTTGACAGGAGTTGAAGGAGATGCCCACTACTACCGATAAAGTGTCCATCATCACAGTGTCTGGAATTTATCTTATAATGTGATGTTGATTTTGCCTTCTTTTATTGTCAGTTGGGTGGGTCCTTTGATCTGCGTAGAAGGACAATGGAAGCTTCGCAATAAAAACATCACTCGGTCTGGAAACTACAACCACATCAAAAAATCCCCTCAGCCGGTCACGGGGAAGTAACCAGTTTCTTTAGTAATGCTGACATAATTCTATCATTCACCATTGCTGACACGTACCATTATAAAGGCGAACTGTATATCCAGACCTTCCTACCGACTGTCTCCAACCGTCTTGCATTAAAATGAAGTTTTCAAGAGTTGTTTTGTAAGGATTTGATTTGTATCAAGACTGACCACGGATCGATATCAGTTTGGGAAATATTGAATGCCAGCAGGGAGTATACTTGACAGCTGTTTCATTCTATTCTTTTTGGGACTCATCGGCAGTAGATACTCACTGGGGTCCTGATTCAGTACCTTCCAGTTACAAGAAAAGCTCGCAACCCATTCATCCATTGGGATAGGATCTAATGGCCCAATAAATTTCAATTTCTTCCAGTGTCATCGGTAAGTATTTGCCCTCACTCTCCATTGGGTTCAAACCCCAGTGGATGTGTACTGCTAATGAATTTTCAGTGGTTCTTGAACTGATATCAATCCATGGTTAAACTGAAAATAAAGTTCCTTTAACCCTACTCCCTGCGCGTCGGTGACATCACGCATGTGGTCTGGAGTTCGATCCTCGGCCGACGCACTCCCTCCTTACCTCGCTAAGCCAGTAATAAAACTAGTAAAGAGGGAAGGTTTGGCATGAAGCTAGCAAACTCATCTGGTGAAAATAAACACCACTGCTACCAAAACTTCAAGCCTCTAGCTTGAAGCCCCATGCTGTGTTCCACTGGGAACGTAAGGGAATAAAAAAGCTTACTCCCACTTCCCGATGAGTGCTACTCTCATTTAACGTAGATGGTCATAGCTACACTCTTTTATAAAGAACTTAAATTAATCACTGACGAGTGACCGGTACACCTTTGTTAGTCGTGCGCGTGTGAAAAAACCCATCAACTGAGATTAAAAAGTAATGTGTCATATATATTATTCAACTTCCTAATCACCATTGCATCATTCCTGTGTATATCTTCATTTAGTTTCGATAATTTTTGATTGGATTTCAACTGATACGATTTGTTCCGGTGAAGCGTTTTAAAAGATTTCCGATGACTAGGACTTTCTCCACGGCCAACACCATCAATAACGTGATCGTTGTCATTATTATTATTATTCACGTCATTATCGCTATTCTCATTTCTAATATCAGAATAAGACTTTCGACGTTTTACACATAACAGTGGGAGTTTTAGCCTTCTCGACTTCCAAGTAGAGTTCAGTCGTTTTGACCTTTGAAATACACTTGTTGAGTGGTACACTTCACGTTGTAGTTTCAACACACCACTATAGGATTGTACAACATTTACTGCAGCAATACTGAACTATAGAATTGGTGGCAAGAGATTATGTAATGCAATATGTAAACAGTGCACAACCGGATAGACATCACAACAGTTATTTGGACAACAATGACAATAACAGGCGAGATAATATCAATAACGGACATTGGTAAATAGACAACATATAAAAAGGACAAAAACATTCAGAAAAGAAAGCATAAAAAGAGAGAAAAACGAGGAATGGTTAGATAAATGTTTAAACTGATTGTTTTTTGACTAATATATGTATATATACATGTATTGCACTGAAATCCGGCATTTGATTGGTTAAAGGTTTGATAATGAGCTGACATATGTTAGAGAACCCTTGGAAAACGAGGGAGAACTGGACAGCTGTTTTGTCCTAGTTTAGGCCCCTTCATCAGGAGCAGTTACCAGGGATCGAACCATTCAGTCACTGGGACGCCATCCAATAGCCGACGAATTCCAATTTCCCCCAATCCGATATATATAACGTAACCACAAGCTAATGTCAGTGTCGGGTAACTCTGTCCTTATCTGACTTGGTGAACCTAATTGGTCAAAACTTCTCTCTAGAAATTCAGGTAACTAACTTCCTGTGTAGTGCCCGGTGGGTGCATACTGCTAAAGAGTCCCGAACTAGGAGGGAACAACTGTCCAGTACTCTTTGGTTTTCCAGTGGTTCTGCCACTTATGTCAGCTCGTTATCAGACCTATGGAAAATGTGCCTACAGTCAAGAAAAAGTTCTGTGTTCTTAAGACCGACATTCACAGTAGATAGTAGTAGTGAGATTGCATCCCACACGACGTCTGAGAAGGATATTTAAAAGGGCCTCTTTAATGTAGCTAAGTAATTCTGTTTATTCATCAAGCATCCAGTATTCAGTTCACGAAATGAAGGCACACTACTGTTTTTCGCCTCTTCCATGTGTATTTATCAATTTAGATGCTCCTATGGATCTGGCTACATTGAGCATATGATTGGGCAAGTTCATCATTGATTTTCTGAACACCATCCATTTTGTTCAGATAAAGGACGGAATAAAGCTATACGCAACTCAACACTGGTTCATCTCATTGATACTGCACATCAGACTGACATTTAAAAGGCTATTAAAGGTATTCATTGGATTTCATCCATCATTTCGCACGATCTAAAAGTATGGATTTTGCACATATAGCAGAGGGATTCCATATTAGTTTGTTTATTAGTGTTTGTTTGTTAGTGAGTGTAACAGTATTATTTACCGGATGACACTGTTTCGAACAAAATTTATTGTTCATAATCACATCAATTATAATCACAGAACTTCGAAACTTGAGTTTTATGGTTTTCTTTGTTCTCTCCTACCTGTCATCGTTTGGGTAGTAGAATTTCGTAGATGCATGGGTGGACAGGTGTTGAATCATTCTCATTGCACTTATTTGCAGTTGATTCGATAAACAAAGCTTCCCTTATCAATCTCTTCCTCCACTCTGTGACATTAGATTTTAAAACTGTGCGTCGGTGGCACAGTGGTTAGGACTCTCGCCGACCATGCACATGGTCCGGGGTTCGAACCCCTGCCGACGCGCACCCGATATCTATGGTCGGCCTGCAAAATTTGGGCTACCGATATCCATGCTGATAATTCCATACTTGTACTGAAAATACGGTGTGGCATCAAGCTGTAAATCAAAATAAAAAAAAAAATCCTATTGTATGGCTGTGTGTAATTGCAAGTAGTGTAGTGCTAAAGCTAAACTATTCTCTAGATTTCTTATCTTATTTGAATCAACCAATCTAGATTTTGCTAGGTTTTTATGCTCGGCTAGTCTGACTGCCCCTGTTCTACTGTTTTGACCTATGCATTTGACCTGACAATCATTGCAGTGATTGGTTAGCCAGCGCATTAAGTTAGTATTCTCTCATACTCTACTATGCCGTAGTTCCGGTCATAATAGAAATATGTGAGCAGTAATCACACTGTTGACTTCAAAGTGATAAATCAATGAATTATGCATAATCTCAATAATAAAAATAAGAGTTACTGTATCAAACTGAAATCTCTCAGTAAGCCTTAGATTTCTTTTCCAGTGTGATAAGTGTACATCTTCTTGAGAATACTCAAAAAGCCGTTAATTTGAAGTCCCAGTGTTAAGATGTTAGACAGTCAAATCATATTGGGAATTTTCCTAAATAATAATGTTATCTTTGACAAAAATGGATATTAACTTCTTCTGGTAAATCCTAGAAGTTATTTAGTGTTTCCAGGTATCACGAAATTAATCTGTGTTGATGGTATCCAGAAATTTAGCGTAGTACTAGGCTTCTCATCAGGTGTTATTTACAGATGAGGTTTTGTAGGGATTTGGATTGATTTCCTACAGGAATTAGAGAATCAATGAAAAACCTGAGAGAGCCATTCCGTCCTAGTTTGGGACTTCGACTTTAGTTCTTGATGATATCTGTATTGAAGTTGAGCCAAATCCCTTCAAGAACATCTAATTCAGATATGAGTCTCCAACTCATTGGTGGCTACTTGGTGGATGTCCTTGTAAGTTGTAATGTAAAGTCGTCTTCAAGTTGAGCTGGATGCTTATCGTTGTCATTAGTTGGGGGTAACTCTGTGTTACGGAGCGACAGAAGTTAGAATTCACGGGTCATCAAATTCCAACCCAAGCGGTTGAGTGGCCAATCAGCTTGGTCTGGTGATCACCTGAAGGTCTTGAGTTCGTTCTGTGCTGGATTGGTGGGTGAGCGCTGGTAAAGGGGTCCTAAAAAAGAACGAAATAGCTCTCCAGGACTCTCCGACTTTCAGTGATCCGTCTAACTGATGTTGCCTGAATGCTGAAATCCACAGTGAAAAGGAAATAACAAGGCGACCGAATGCTTCTTCATCAAGGAAATGCATTTTTGAAGAAAGTTTCTGAAAAGTCAATTCAATCACTTATTTTATTCAGAGGAAACATCTGGTCTACGTTTGATAAACACTGGGTACCCTGGGCAAAGAATGCCGGTTTCTTACAAAATTATTATGTAGGCAGGTTTGTTAGGAGGTGTTGAGACTACATTTCGGTGGCTAGCGAGCATTGGTGGTTGTTTCTTTAGTTGTTATTTGATAATTGTAAGTACAAAACTATAGAAATCAATATTCATCAACGAAAAAATCGGTTAAGCAAAGTAGAGCAAACAAAACTCACCGTTTTTGCCGTATCCAAAGTTTTCATGCTGAAGAATAATGAATGAAGATTGGAAAATGGTTATTACATATATGAGTAGAATATCAACTAAACTTAGGGAAATTTCACAAAAATTCTCGATTATTCAAACCTGGATGGCCAAGGTAATGATAATGTCTGAACTAACTTCTTTTGGATGCATAAATTAGGCTTGTTAATATGGATCCTCACAGCCAGCCTCAGCAATATTTAGTAGTCGAACTCTTCAGGCAAAATTGAGATTCTTAGGTATGCGGCAAATGACTCTGAAAGCATGATTAACGTCAATCTTGTGTTCTGTCTCCACAAGATGAGACAGAATAGCACTGCGAATAGATTTTGTTCGTCCTTTACTTAACCACTTTGTAGGGTGATGTTCGGAAATTCGACGAGAAACACGCCTAATTGTACGGCCTATGTAACTGGCTCACTCCACAGGAGCAGTTAAATTGGTATATACACATGGAAGAGGCGAAATTAGGCAGTTTGTCTTTTATTCCCGAACGCAGAAGAGGAGTAGTTTTAAAGATACAGCGTAATTGAGCAGCAGGGAATGCTCTTTTCACCGCATTTCTGAGGCGATGTGTTAGTATCTCACTTGTGTTGTCTCCTAGGAACTGCATCTGTAAGAACAAAGCCTTTTTTCGAACTGTTGGTAACTTGGACTGTTTTGGTTTTAGATTCAGATTCTTATCAATAAACTTTTCAGGACAACCATTCTCACTTAGCAACCGTTTAATATTGTTAAGTTCCTCGTCGAGACATTCGTCCGAGCAAATTGCTCTTGCTCTATGAACCAAGCATTTTATTAGATTGCGTTTGTATTTCAAGGGCACAAAGCTGAGAAAATGTGTGTACTGGCCCGTTTATGTAAGTTTTCTATAAACACTTCTTCTTATTATGCCATCCTCTTTTCTGGTCATAAGGACGTCTAAAAATGAAATACTAGAGTGTTTTTCTTTCTCAATAGTGAAATTTATTGCAGGATGTACCTCATTAAATTTATCCAGGATGTTCTTTGCTTCCTCTTCGTTCTTGATAATTAAAAAAGTATCATCCATGTACCGACAATAAAATTCGAGTTCATTAGTAACATCTTTCAAAGGCCCATTTTCTAGTTTCGCCAGGAAAATGTCGGCTAGAATGGGTCCTAGTGGTGACCCCATTGCCACACCTTCGATTTGTCTATATAGTTCCTTATTAAATAAAAAGTGGAAATTCATTGTACATTTCAAGAGAAGTTCTTTCATAAAAGATATAGGAATGCCAACATCGATGTTTCGTCTTTTGAGTTCTTCGCATATAAAGTCCGATGTTTCCATGAGAGGTACATTGGTGAATAAGGAAGATACGTGAAATGATATCATGAATTTATTATCAACATTTAAATCTCTTATCCTTTCAACGAATCCAAAAGTCTCCTTTACACTATGTTTCACCAACCCAGTATGAAGGGGCTGTAAGATATGATATTTTTTGAACTGGTGTGTTTGCATGCAGTAAAAACCTTCAACTTAATCAACGAAAATATTTCGGTAAATCTAAGCGAAGATGACACGGGCCGGAGGTTAAATGGAAGAATGCTCATAAACCACGTGTGAGGCTCATGTTTGATTCCCATCTGTCTCACTCCGGCCAACCTCTATCAGTCAGTGCGCTAGCTAAGAGTAAGCTTGGAAGAGAGGGAATATGGGGGTGTGAAGCTAGCAACCCTATCCTAAAAGAGCGAAGCCGTCACCACTGAAACTTCAAAGCAAGAGTCTAAAGTCCTATTTTCCATTCAGAACTCAAGGAATGTTGGAGAAGCGAAGATGCAATATAGAGTCTCGAGATCTTCCATATAGTATGATCAAGAAAGTTAGCCTAAATCACAGAGACACTTTGTCCTTGTCTCAGAATCCTAAGAAATGCTCATCTTCGATTGTTCAACAGATAGAAACATGGATTGTCAGATTTCAAGGTGAATGTCAACCATTTAGTGGGGGAATCTCAGATCAAAACAAAAGCAGCTGTGCAATTCTTCTTAGTTTTCGATGATGGTTCTACAAGCGACGTCAGTTCCTTTTTAGAAATTCGGTCACATATTCACTAAAATACCCACAAAATATTAGACGTTTGTTAACAAATTGTAGTGAGAGAGGGAGGGAAACTAATTAGAGGCTGTGTATTTAACTACTTTTGTTGCTTTCTAATACTGGTTGATGGTTTTCATCATGGACTGACGTCAGTTAGAGAACCATGGGAAAACCATCTGGGAGTGCGTGAGAGCCAACTCTTTCGTCCTAGTTTGGGACCCACCGGGGTTTGAACCTAGGACCTTCTGGTTTCAAGACCAGCCGGCTAGTAGACCATTCAGCCACTGGGACCCGATCCAATGGCCAGCCCATGAATTCCAACTTCCGCTAATACAGCAGGTTGAAGGTGAGGCAGTAACTCACCAAAGAAGACATTGAGACGTGATCACGCTATGTCATGAACTGGTAGAAGTTGGAATTCATGGACTGCCCACTGGATCGGTTCCCAGTGGCTGATGAATGGTCTACGAGCTCGTTCGCCTTGTAACCAGAAGGTCATGGGTTCCACCCGCCTATTGATGAGGAGTCCCAAAGTTGGGTGAGGCAGCTATTCAGTACTTTCCTCTGGTTTCTAGTGGTTCTCTAACCGACGTCACTTCATGGTGAAATCCTCCAACCAACCAATCAAACAAGACCCCTTGAAAACCGACGCTTTCTAATAAATCGAAATTTGAGCCACACTGACTGTCAATTAGTATTTCACGTCAGTTCTCCTAGGCATTTCGATATGTGAGAAATTGTATTCTATGACTATAGTTCTTCTTATACAACAAGACAATATTAACCATGAAGAAAGTCGAGAGGGAACTGAAAAGCAAATTATCCTGCTGTACTGAATAAAAACTCATGAAATGACTCCCATTATTATTTTATACAATTATTCCCTTGGATTTCTAGTGGAACATAGGGCTTCAGAGATACATCTCCGTTTCAGTCTGCTCTGTGCAGTGCTCTTTAGCTGGATCTATGACTGCCCATAGGCTCTCACTTCCTATTCGTATGATCTACTCCATGCCACCTATGAACCTTCATCCAGCACGTCGTTTCCAATTAGAGTTTCAATTGAGGGTCATATGCTTGATGTCACTCAAAAGCCTCACTAGCCTGTGTCCAATGGATTTCAATTTTCCTCCTTCATATTAGTTGGTTGTTTCGTTACTCACCTAGGTCCCTTGTTGCTAATTTTTTCTGACCAGCCGCCTGATTTTCAGAATACATTGGAGACGGCTATTGATGAAAGTCTTCAGTAGTTTGCTGGAAATGCTTTTCGTAACTTCACCCTGTCGGGAACACCGGTTCAGTAAATTTAAGAAACGTTGAGCTCGGTTTGTAGGTGCATACGTGATTGGCTTTTAACATCGCCTTGATCGCTAGCCGGCTCTAAGCTGGGAAAAGTGAAGAAGGTTGGGTGGAGGACTAGCAACCCAACCCTAGAAAATCAGCCCAGTCTCTACAAAAACTACGAAGCACAGGAAAAAAATATAAAAGCCCGTTTATGCATAACATCTATTGATCCCCTAGCTCAACAGAAGAGCTCTTTGGAATAGACAAAGAAAGAACTAGACAAAATTAGTTGAACAAACATATTTAAATTACTCGACGTGCATTTCAAACTCACTTTTCTAAGGATTTATTTCGAATTGAAGTTTCATTCGTTGCGCTCAAATTATTCTAGTAAAAGCAAAACAAACGAATAAATAGATTACTGACCACTGTGCTACAAAGACAAAGAATTTATGGACCATTGAGTCAGGTCCCAGTGGCTGCATCGTCTGTGAGGTTGACATGTAACCAGAGGGTACTGGTTTCAAACCCAGGTGGGTGCGTACTGACGGTGTGTTCTGTTCAGTACTCGTGGTGGTTTTCAGTGGTTCTCTAACTGATATCAATCCGTAAGCAAACTTGAAGAAACATCAAATCTGAACAAATTACCTCTTGAAAAACGAAGATGTTCAGTAGTGATTTGAACTTAAATTAATAAAATAATTAGAATATTCCAATGTCACAGTGCCACTTGAAGGTTTGGGATTCATTCTCGCTCAACCTGTGTGCAGTGGGTATCAGAGGTGGTTCTCATGGCTTAAACGGCCTATTGGATAATGATTTGGTATTTGAAGTAATGGCTGAATGGTTCAAGTCTCCGTAGGAAACACCATTATTTACTGGGGAGTACAGATGCAGCCAGCCAGCCAGCCAACCAGCTAGTCTCAGGAAGAACGAAATGTTCTTCCTGATGGATTCCACTGGTAGTCAGCATCCACAAAATTAGGGAAACAAATCACTTTACACTTGAGCAGTCACTCAGTAATATAATATCCACTGTTGTTCACCTTCCGAGTATTCTGAGTGTGCGCAATCATGTGAATAACAAATTTCTGTCATTCAGCAGTTTTCCTATAGGTATATATATATGTGCTTACATTAAAGCATTTCCATCAGTCGCTCAGTGGTAGTATGCTTTCTAGCATCTCATGTGGTTGAGGTTCAATTCCCCGCCGATGCACTCTTATACCTCATCTTATTTGCTAGCTGGCGGTAGGCTTAAGAAAGAGAGGGGAGGTTGAGTGCGAGGCCAGTCAACCCACTGTGTAAAATCAACACCATCGGTACCGAAATTTCAGAGATTAAATCCCTCTGTTTCACTTGAGAAACAAGGAATGAAAACCTAAAAAATACCTTAAAATTTACAGTGACGATTTTTTCATGATATTTATAACAGATTAACACATTTCGCCGACTGCTACTGTCATATGACTATAATAATAATAATAACTATTATTACCACGGGTTTCGAATGAAACATACGGCTTCAACAACACATCTCCACTTTCTTCTATAATCCGCTGTCCTCTTCAGCTGGGTTCACGACTGACTATAGTCCCTTGTCTCCCTCCCCCCACATGATCTCCTCCATGTCGCCTTCGCACTGACCACCCACTCGTCGCTTCCCATTCACCTTCCACTCGAGCGATGGCCTGAATTGAGTGCAACGTCATTCGACCGCCTCCTTAGTGACGTACGTCCGATCCATCTCCATTTTATCCCGCATATTTGTAGATTAATCAACTATCGGTTTGTTTGTTGCAAGGCAGTCAGAGTTTCTTGTTGCTAATTCTTTCTAGCCGGCCAGTCAGTTGACCATTTGGTCTTCAGTATGGAGCCAGCTAACGAAGTGGGCAGCTGTTGATAAAAGGTTACAGTAGTCTGTTGGAAATCCTTTTCGTGACACACAGTGCACGTTTTTAACCCACTGACTCACTTCACATTTGTATTGAACAGAACCTTGTTGTTTATGCTGAGTGGGTAAGTGAGTGGAGAAGATTTGCCGATTGGTTTCAGTTTGATGAAGGAGTATCTTGCCTTTCCGATTCTGACTGGCTGGCTGACTTTGATATCTTTATCCTTAATGTCCGACTGCCTGTGGTTGAAACCGTGCTTCCTGGTTGGATAAGTGAGGGAAGTAACCTGTGTCGAATCTCTCCCGTTGATAGTGATTGGTGCTGGTTGTTGTTGTCAGTTGGGTGGTTGGTTATAGATATGAATGTTGGTTATCTTCATCACTTCCGTCTTGTCTTTGTTCACCTGAAGTCCTGTCTTCCCAACCAGCTTCGCCTTTTCAGCCAGTTTGTTGGTTTTCGCCTGCCTGCAAGTTTTCGAGTTTGTGTGTGTGACCTTGAACATGAATCATCTACGAGTGAAATGCAGATCTCCTAATGTCTTCTTGTCGGTCAGTCCAGCGTATTCCCTGCGCACTGTCTGACGCATAATCCAGTCCATCACTATTAAGAATATCATCGTGGGTGATAACAAACAGCCAACTAGCCAGCTTGGCTTACTCCTGTCGTCTTCACTTCAAACGCCTCGCCAAGTGAATTTTCCGTTAAGGCTCACCTGACACGTGGCGTCGTCAAATGACTTCGATTAGCTTATTATACCCTCATTTTATTGGTTAAGTAGTCCCATGCCAGGGAAAGTTCAGTATACATGCAGTAGTAGGCTCTTGCCAAAACATTGAGGAAATCACTCATCGATGCTATATATGTGAATTTTATTAAGCACAAATGAAGTCTAGTCACTGACATCTCTCTGCATACGATAAACCAAACATTCTCGTGTATTTTCATGACATATTGGCAACTATCCATTCATACAATTTTACTGAACCAGTGAAAATAAAGCTTGGAAATCGAAATTCTTAGCCTAACTATGTTTTAACGTAGAACTTTTTTTATAGAAGTGTAGGAATTCAAGTTACCGCGCTTCATGTAGCACACAAAAATACAGAAACGATATTCAACAAAATTATCATGAGCAGAAATTTACGGAAGATGTGAATAATAACATGGAAAACACGAAGGTCTGGTGGGTCTGGGAGATCACAAAGAGTGAAAGCATTTTGGGCCATTGAGAACGATTTTGAGCCATATAAACAACAACCAGCCATTGTTTATTTGCGTACCGAGGACTTCAAAGGTGCAGTCTACACCGCCTTACGCGGCTTCCACCAACTGTCCAAAACTTCTTGTTCTCTACCCCCACCCGATTCAATTTCTACACCTCACTACCACTGTTACTGACTTGAACATCGCTCAGTTTCTAGTCATTTATGTTACGTCATCCAACTTATTTACTCAATTTCACTTCTACTTAATCTCTACCTGTAATTACCTCTGTTGCTATCCTGACCTAAGTTGTAACATTTTAGCCAATTATATTACGTCATCCAGCTTACTAACTCAATCTTACTTTAGTTGCTGTTTGATTAACTTTGTCTCTATACTACATCATTCCTGTATTAACTAATCAATTATCTAAACTTGACAAACCTCATGTACACACACGCACACAAATAATTATATATAAATGCGATTGTACAGATATGTGAATGAATTCGCCGAAAAGAGTATCTTCACTGAATTTCTTCTCTTTTTCATATGACTCAATGGGGATTTTCAATCTACTTCATAGATTGACTCCAGGCTTCGGTTCGACCGAAAATCGAACTATTTTCCAGGCACATTTTACGTCGACTAACAATGTTCGTTGAGGATGCAGGTGGTTAAGCATGCGCAACATGTGTCTTAACCATTTCAATCGATGTAGTGTCACAACCTCACTGGCTTACCTACCCTCCTCATCTAGGACTCTTTGTCTAACTTCAGTATCACTTAGCATACTGCATCACTTAGCACGGAGGATAGAATGCAAACAGCATCTGTGGTCAAAGGAAGCTGGCCTTTTCCTATCTCTCAGTTTCAATGGTCGTATCTCATAGACATAAAGAAGGACGGGGGAGCTGCTGCTCAGTAAACAAAGCCCACCGAGACAATACAACTGGATTAGCTTCGGCAGAAGACGACTAGATTAACTACATGAGATCTTATTTACTATGTAAATATATATAATAATATAAATCATTGTGAATTTTGAATACATAAGCTTACCTGTTCACTTCTTTTTGCAGATTCAGGGGTACTAAAAATTCAAGAGAAACAAAATGAACTAAATCAGTCACATTTATAAATTTGAAAGTAATCACCACAAGTCCATCACCTTGAGCTTGCTAAACATTTGCGCCTCCCACGACCCCAGTAGGCCTCATTTGTAGTTTCTTCATCCGGTGTCACTCAAAGACGCTGTACACGAAACTACCAGGGCTGTTCCTACGACAAGTCAATAGAACCGTTGAAAGTCACCGATACCACTACAAATCTGCTTTGTTCTCATTTTGAACTCTTCTGCTGCGGATACTCCTGAATTTTAATGTGAATCCATTAGCTCTTTCAAACAGCACTTTATCACTCAATCTTCAAGCCAAACATCAGCGGAATATATAATTTTTAACCTGAATCAATTCATAGCACAACTTAACCACTATTCACTATCTTTGATAGGTAAATCTCCTAGTGACTATGAATGTAGATGTGTGGTGAGAGCTGTCTACTAGCCAAGTGGTGGACAGTAATTGAGGTCAGTGTTTATGTATCAAATATTAGTCATGTTGTGGTGCGAGATGGTTGCTGGCCAAATTGGTTGACAGTAATTGAGGTCAAAGGTCAAGGTGGACAGGCGGTTACAGTTAACATATAGATGAACTGACAGCCACCAGAGATGCAAGGTTAACTTTGTGTGAGAAACCACCAATCAACAGACTGTATTTTCTACTAACATTGACCTACAATAATGTACATAAAAATCTATAAATACGTGTTGATTTTCGTAATAAACGATCTGTTGCCTGGCCCTTGTCTTCTGTTGTTACATATGGTTTATAGACTTGCTTCCCGCGCCCCACCAGGGATATTTTTAACATGGCGTTGCATACTTTTATCAGAGAATGCCTTCTCTACCTACATAAGGAAGATCGCATGACCAGCCAGAGAGGATAATCAACAATGAAGTCTGGCAATGAACCACTGAATATAAATCTACTAAATAAAAAGCAACTTTAACCGCAAATCGAGCTACTACTATCAATTAATATTAGATTGATGTTAATATTGAATAGTACTGAACAAAACTGTCTTGTCTATTCCTAACTACTGGTTAATATGTAACGTTCACATTTTTCAATGGAACCACAAAGCTAATCATAAGAAATCATAAAGTACCAAGTAAGTTTTAAAAGGTTATAAGTAATAACAGGTGACTGCTGTAGATAAGTTTCACCCCTCTCCACATTCATCAGTTAGATAAACTTTCAACTTTTAAGGAATTTATTATTATTAATATCATTATTAATGTTCCCTTGAGTTATGAGTGGAACACAGAGCTTCAGCAACACCACCTCATTGCACTCTATTCTGTGTAGCCTTTATTAGCTGACTGTGCGACTGTCTGTAAGCTCTCATCCCCCCTCATGATAACCTCGAACCCACATCCAACTAATCGTTTCCCACTTTGGATTCTATTCAGGGATTATGTCACTAAAATATTTCCCCAGCGTATATCCAATCCATTTGCATTACCTTCTGCATATTTGTAAGGTGGTAGGTCCTTGACTGATTTGTCTCCAGAATTCCTTGTTCCTTACCCTTTTGGCTGGTTATCTTGTCTCTTATATTGAGTACAGTGGATTTTCACACAGATTTCAGAGCAACGAATAGCTGCCTTGCTTTTCTGACCCTACCCTGTCTGACTTCAACATCCCTACATGTAGTTGAAACGATACCGCACATATAAGTGAAAGGTTCGATCTGCATCAGATTTCTCCCAGTGATGATCACTGATGTCTGTTATTGTTCGTCTGTGGGTATCTTCATTACCTCTGTCTTCTCTATGTTCACTTGAAATCCTGTCTTCGCCTTCTGTCTCTTCTATTGAATGGTTGGTTTTTTACTGCAGGTCTTTGAGTTTCTGCGACACAAGACATAATTATTATTGTATCCTTTAATTCCTAGAGGAACATAGGGCTTCAGCCGTGCGTCTCCATTGCATTCGATTCTCTGCTAGAGTCTTCATCTGGCTCCAAGTCTGCCCAAACGTTTTCATCTCCCCTTCACATGACTCGCCGCTTCCCCTTCGGTTTCCACTCGAGCGATGGCTTGTCTAGTGATGTCAATTGATGGTTAGTTTTCTCAGAGTATGGCCAATCCATCTCCATTTCTTCCTACCTATTTGTTTCACAATCACTTCCTGGTTGTTTCGCTCCCAAAGATCCCTGTTGCTGATCTTTTCTGGACATCTGATCTTGAGTATTGAGCGAAGACAACTGTTAATGAAGATCTGTAGTTTGTTTGAGATGCTCTTTATGACGCACCAAGCCTCTGATCCGTATAGTAGCACTGACATCACATTGGAGTTGAAAATCCGGATCTTATTTTTGATGCTGAGTGTGGTGTGCTGTTGACCTCCACACAGACTTGAGAGTAGTGAAAGCTTGTCTTGCTTTGATATCCTCGTCAGTTCCGCCTGTAGGTGAAACGATGCTTCCCAGGTAGGTAAAGGAGGTTGCTTCTCTCTGATTCCTCCCATTTATGCTGATTGTTGTCTGTTGTTATTGTTGTTGTTGCTGCTGGTGGTGTTGTCCAGGAATCTTCATCACCTCTGTTTCCTCAATATTCACCTGAAGTCCTATCTTCTCTGGATGCTTCTTCTGCCAACTTGTTGCTTTTCGCTTGCATATCTTCCAGTTACACAAGACATAAATCATCTGTGAAATCCAGATCTTCTTGGGTCCTCTTATAATGATAATGAAGCTTTATTTCAGACAATATGAGAACATATCTGATATTAATTGATAGTAGTAACTGGATTTGCAGTTAGAGATGATTTTTATTCAGTAGATTTATTTATATTCGGTGATTCATTGCCAGACTTCCTTGTTGATTATCCTCTCTGGCCGGTTATGTGACCTTCACTTTCTAGGTAGTGAATGCATTCGCTGATAAGAGTGTACAACGCCGTGTTAAAAGTACCTCTGGTGGCGTGTGAGCAGCAAGTCTATAAACCATTTACAGACAGTGACTTAAGCTTAGGGTAGATTTCTACACGAATTTGAGAATAAGAAAGGTCCGCCATGCTTTTCTGATTTTAACCTGACTGACTTTGACTTCCTCATCCGTGTCACCTGTGGTTGAAATGATGCTACACGGGTCAAGTAAGTGAAAAGGCTGATTTTCAGGTATTGGTTCTTTGTAGGGATTTAGTTTGATTGGTTGGAGGATTTCATCATGAGCTGACATCAGTTAGAGAACCATTAGAAAACCTGGGAGTACTAGACAGACAACTATTTCTGTTGTCCTAGTTCAGGACTCTTCATCATTAGGGTTCGAACCCAGCACTTTCTGCTTACAAAATGAACTAGCTAGTAGACCAGTAAGCAACTGTGACGTGATGTTTAGTGTCAAAGAGTTCAGAAGCTGAGATCAGCAGTAGTGGTAATCAACGCCATCTTGAGTTATAACGGAAGTTATTTAGGAATCTTTCAATTTCCCCATTCACACACCCTCTGCCCAGAAGATTCCTGTCAAAGGCCGCATGATTTTATGTGTTCTGATTCTCATAACCATCAGGTGATACTCTGGAGGCGCCTGCATTCCTTCTACAGATGTTAATAATATTAATTTCTAGTGATGGTTTGCCGGGGTTTGACTGAATGTAGGTTCGATCAAGATCTAACATTAGCTGTCGTGACCGTTGGAACCCATTAAATCAGGTGGGTCATTGGCATAATGGTCGCACTAAATATAATATAGCAAATTGCCAGAATTTTGAATCCATGGGTCATTTGACCAAGTCCTAGGGGCTGAACAGTCTACGGGCTCGCCTTGTAGGCGGAGGATCTTGGACTCTAATCCCATTTGGTGCGTACTGCTGAAAAGCTTGATTCAAAGAATAAGTGGCTCTTCAGTTAGAGAACCAGTGAAAACCAGCTAGGAGTACTGGACAGTTGTTTCGTCCTTTTTGTGGCTCCTCGACAATACATGACTGTAGTCCCGCCAGAGATTATTCAAATCCACTCACACTAACACTTGAAAATCAACCTGGTGCTCACTCACAGCTGACGACAAGATGAAGTTACCTGAAGTGGTTCTAATGGGCAGTTGTGATCAATGGGGTGCACAAAGTTGGAAATGAGGATAGACATAGACTGGCGACATCGGTAGGCGATCATACTTGATATGTGTCGCGAATAGGCAAAATTTAAAATCCATCCCCCGTCTGATTTCATTTATACATCTCATCCAACAGTTGTACGATAATGCTGCATGCCAAGTAATTCACAGCGGCAAACTCACGGAATCCTTCGAAGTGAAGACGGGAGGAAGACAAGGAAGGCTGGCTGCCTACTATCTTCAATGATTTTCCTGATTGTGGTAGACTGGATAGTGCGAGAGACAGCAGTGGGCAACGAGGAGACAGGCATGAAATGGACCCACAGAAAAAACTTGGAGGATATGGATTTTGCGGATGATATGTATATCTGGTTTCCCACAGACTGGAAGTTATGGAATTGAAAAGCAACAAGTTGTCAGAAGAACCATCCAGAGAAGATAGGACTTCAGGTGAACATAGAGAAAACAGAGTTGATGAAGATTCCTGACCAACAACAACAGCAGTAACAACAGACAACAATCAGCATTAATGGGAGAAATCTGAAAGAAGCAACTTCCTTCACCTGGGAAGCATCGTTTCAACTACAGGCGGACAGAACTGATGAGGATATCAAAGCGAGGATCGGGAAAGCAAGGCAAGTTTTCATTTCTGTTGAGTCTGTGTGGAGGTCAACAGCACCACTCAGCCTGGAAAATAAGATCTGGATTTTCAATTTGAATGTAAAGTCAGTGCTACTCACTATACGTACAGATCAGAGACTTGGTTCCATGTCACGAAGGGCTTCTTCGAACAAACTACAGACCTCCATCAACAGCTGACTTCTCTCAATACTATTCAAAAATCAGATGGCCGGCTAGAAAAGAAATAAGTAAACCAACCCAGCAGGAACCGGTTGTGCAACAAATATGCAGGAAGAAATGGAGGTGGATTGGTGGCCATACTTTGAGAAAACAAACGATCAAATGAGTGACATAACACGCAAGGCCATTGCTCGAGTGGAACCGGAATAGAAAGCGGTGAGTTGGTCGTCAGTGCGAGGGTGACATGGAGGAGGAGGTGATGCGAGGAGGAGATGAAAGAATGTAGGCGGACGTGGAGCCAGGTGAAGACGTTGGCAGAGAACCGAACACAATGGAGATGTGCAGCTGAAGCCCGATGTTCCTCTAGGAACTAAAGGAAGCAATAATAATAACTCCTTATACCAATCAGATAATATACAGGATTCGATCATCAAGAGATAACAAGCCTGTGTTCCACATTAAAGCTTATGTGTCAAGTTTGGAATAGAAGCAATAATATAAATCATGCACCACTGAATATCTGTGTCGTAGGTTGACAGGATTAACTTCCCAAAACATGAGATCATAATACTAAGAATAACGGTCATTGAATAGAAGTTACCTACCGATCATGCAGTTGACTTCGTGGAGTAGTACGAGGAGCACCTTCTTTTTGTGTCAGAAAATCACCATGCTGAAAAGGAATAAAACTGCAATTAGAAGGGTATTTTTGAAAGCGCAGTCACTATATTTTATGGGATAAGAGACAACAGAGAAGGTAACAAACCAGTTCTCAAGAAGTAAGCGCCCTTTTCTAAAAGCAGTTTGTGGTGTTTATATTTTTATTGATCAGGAGCTACTTTCTTTCCTAGGGTGACAAATCAACGAGAACAACAATGACTCATTACCGGTTAGTTCCTAATCTCCAAGTGGAAATTCTTAGCCATTCATTCTAAAAAACTGAAAGTTTGGTGAAGCACTCTGTGAGAATATTTGGTAGCTGTTAAGCAGTTAAAAAGAGACATTCATTGCTGAATATACTCCTTGTAGAATAGAATTCACTGCAGGTGAAACCAGTGAGAGATAGTGTAGGATACTTAATTATGAAAGAGAAGAAGTAAAGGAAACAGTGGGCTGGTCACTTCAAGAGACTCCTGTAACCCATTCAGTAATGCCACTAATGGCAAGCACAGAACTGCCAGTTAATACCAATCCTCCAATAAAGGAAGTCTTGAGTGCCGTAAAGCTACTGAAAGCCGCAGAGGCAATAGGAATGGGTGGAATTCCTCGAGATGCAATAAAAACGGATTCTGAGACCTAATTGAATATCTTCGCGCCAAAATTGCAGAGAGTTTTGAAGGAAGGAAGAGTACCTACTGACTAAAGGAAAGGCCGTTCTGCCAGATTGTCGAGGAACAGTGACTTCGGAATTGGCAAAGAGTGGTGCGGAATCATGATCCTGTCGTGTCAACTTGGGGAGAATAAGACATGTATTGGGTGCAGAATCCCGACCGGAACAGGATGGATTTCGAAAAAAAACAAAATCGTATGCAGATCAGACAGCAACTCAAAAGGTCATCATCGAACACAGCATAGAATGACAGTCAAATCTCGACTTCGTCTTGAAACAAATTCAACATAAACCTTTATCGACCTAATTCAACAGCTATATGCTGATGCTGTATGCTAAACGGAAAGCTTAGTGAAGCCTTTAAGGTGAATCCAGGGTTGAGACAAGGCTGCCAACTATCACCTTTTGCATTCGTGGTTGTGGTAAGCTGGGACATGCTGTATACCATAGTCAGCTAGGATACACGAGTACGCTGGACCGATAAGAAGACACTAGCCGATCTGGATTTCGCGGATGATTTACGTCTAATATCGCACAAACTCAAGGATCTACGGGGAAAAACCAACAAGTTGGTAGAAGAAGCAGGCAGAAAAGACAGGACTCCAAATGAACGTAGAGGAGGTCGAGAAGGAGGTGATGAAAATAACCATCCAACGACAACAACCAGCACCAATTACCATCAACTGGAGAGATTTGACAGAGGTTACTTCCTTCCGTTATCCAGGAGACATCGTTTCAACTTCAGGAGGAACGGGTGAAGATGTCAAGTGCAGCCAGAATTGGAAAGGCAAGATACGCCTTCATCAGCCTGAAAGCAGTTTGCAAATCTTCTTCACTCGGCAGTACAAACAACAAGATTCAAATTTTCAACACAAATGTGAAGTCAGTCACTGCTTCTAAATGAATCAGAAACTTGCACTAGGCGACCGTTACGAAAAGGATTTCTAGTAGACTATTGCAGAATTTTACTAAGAGCTGCATTCTCTGGCTCCATACTGGGGATTGAATGGCCGGCCAAGAAGAATTAGCAAGTAGAAAGTCTGGTTGGCTGGGAACAAGCCAACAGGTGAGAACCGATTACTCAACAGATTTGTAGGAGAAAATGGAGTTGAATTGATCAAGCATACGTTGAGGAGACCATCGAATGACATCGCTCTAGGCCGTCTAGTGGTATCCAAATGACAAGCGACGAGTGTGTCAGGAGGGAGAGGGTGACATGCAGGAGATCGTGTGAGTTGGAGGAGGAGAAGAGGGAATATAGGCAATCGTGGAGCCAGTCAAAGACGAATACAGTGAACAGAACCAAATGGGTATGTGTTGTTGAAGTCCTATGTTCCACTTGGAACCCAAGAGAATAATAATAATCTGACAAATTCTTTTCTCGAAGCCTTTTACAAGTTATTATCATTTATATGAACTGTGATCAAGATTTAACCGAATTATTCCGAAATAATTGAGACCTGAGTAAGAAGATGATATATATAAAAATTATATTCGTAAAATCTCAGCGAGTATGTTGAAAATGTTCTGTACATTAAGTAATAATTTCTTCAGACTGTATGCGGATGGTACAAAGTCAACGAAATGAATGACGGTACCATCTTATTTTGCACAAACCGTTATTGTTCTTGCTTTATTCATAGTCTTTGTTAAAGGGAATAAGTGTATGTGAAGAAACCAAAGCTGGCACATTCGGAAAGAGGCCAAGATTACAATTCAGCAAATCCTTTCGCCATCAAGGTATTTGTGGCCAAGAATCTGATTAACAGAGCCAAACTTCTAGTTACTGAGGTGGAAGAGATCAACAGTCTACTCTTGGATCAAATAATTACCCGGAAGCTTTTGTCAAAAGATTTTTGAAATACGAAGATAAGGATGAATCATAAGCTGTTGCTACGATTTGGGTTAGTATAGTAGTGATTCCTTACCGCAAAGAAACATCGGATGAGATAAAGCGAACCTGTAACAATCATGACATAAGAGTGTATTTTCGTGCAACGAACATCTTAAAACCCTCATCACCAGTGAACCTTAAGGATAAAATAGAAGAAGACAACGAACAGGATTGTGTGTACTAGATCAAATGTGGGGATTGTGATGCTGTTGTATACGTAGTAGGGACTTCCAGATAGGTAAATATAAGAGTAAAAGAGCATAAAGAATCTCTATAAGTGGTTCCAAAGACCTCAGCAGACTTAAAGAAGCTAGAAAACAGATCAGCAATTGCACTGCATTCGATAGGAATGGGACACAAAATCGACTTTGATAAGACTAAGGTTTTACAGAAAGGTTTTGGTTCATATAAAGAATGACTGACTGTAGAAGCCCTACATATATGGGTGAATCCCAGCAGTTTGAACAGACTTGAAGGTGTGATATTAGCTGATGCATGCAATAAATAAAAAATAGAAATGTAGCACTAATCATCCATAATTGATCCAAATTCCCGATTGTTTATATCTTCTTATGGAGAGGTTAACAAATGATTTACAATTGTTTCCCCATACACATTTGCACCGTCGTATACAGCATATTTACATAAATGTCTTCGCGTATTCAGTTATCTACAACCATGAAATTTTAGTCGAACGTAATCACTGAAATTGTGATGCAAAAGTACAGTACACTGTTTACAGTGTTTATCAAAAGCAGACTAATATTTGTAAGAATTCTGAGGTGAAATTCTGATCACAGTTCATGCAATTTAGTTTATTATATTTTGATCCGCTGAAAGAGAAACTGTCAAGATACAACCTCCGTGACATATTCGATTTCGCTGATTCAATTAGGAATGTCAACTTGGCAGTTAAGAAGGTGCTGACCCATTATCTAAAAGGGCTGTTACTACGATGCGCCTTCAATGTCTACTTTAGTTTCAACAACGAAATTTACAGGCAAGTACATGGAGTAGCAATGGGTTATCCTCTAGGACCCATGTTGGTCGTTTGTCTTATGAATAGTCTAGAAAACAACTCCCTGTCATCAACTATCGACGACCTCCATCTCTACAAGAGATACATCGATGATACTTTCATTATTTGTGATGAGAATTGTGACCTGAAAAAAACCAACTTCAAACCTTCAGTAACGTCCACCCAAACATTCACTTCACTCTGGGAGTTTCATTTCCTCGACGTTCAATTGAGAAGGAATGCTGACAACTCACCAAGAAGACCCATCTACCAAAAGCCCATATGTAACGGACAGTTTATCAACTTTCAAAGTTTTGTGCCTATAAACAGAAAGAGAAACCTAATCCGGAAAATCTGCATTGAGAAATCAATTGGCGAAGAATTGCGAAATCTCCGAGCGACCTTGCTAGAAGATGGATTCCTACCCAGATTCATAGACAAGAATCTGCAACCAAAGGAAGTGGCTGAAAAAGCCCAAGTCAACCCCAAAACGACGCTGATAGTTAACCCCAAATTTAAAAGTGATACTGAAGCAGAACTTCTCCGTAGACGGATTTCGAAGTCTCTCAGTAAAACATACTTTGCCGCCAGCGTAAGGGCAACAGTCTCCTGCAGGAAACTATTAAACCAGCATGTGAACGATAATCTGTAGCCCACACTGGGCCACTTCAGCATGCATATACCAGTTCACTTGCTTGTGTGGAGCCGAGTACATTGGCCGTACCATGCATCCGCTTGTAAAACGCTTTCGAGAACACTATCCAGCCTAGCTCGCTAGCAAAGGGGGAGCATAAAGGTGTACACAATTTTGCAACAGAACATGTGGTGTATTCAGGACATTCAGCTCCATTTGAAAAGTCCTTTAAAGTTATATACAAGATCCGATCAAACCTATCGAAGGGAGTGAAATCAAGACATCCAGGAATAGCTGAGGCACTGGTGACGCATAAAGCTCAAGCCAACACTATGTGTTCAAAAGAAATATGTCTAACTGTTGCCCCTTTGACCGGGAATAATTCTGCAACGTTTTTCACACATTTAATATAAATGCACGAATGTACAGCCTAGTTGATGGTGACTTCGTCGAAAAGAAAATTTTCTTCCCCGCTGTAACCATCTTTTAATAATTCCTATGATTCAGTGTGCATATTGTATTTTTATATACAAATGTAGTAGTCAGATAAGGAAAATATCTAAGGAGCTCTTCTTTTACTCAACCCTCCTTTTGTCTTCTGAATGTTTAAATGGGAATTTTCGCGAATATCAAAGCAAGGGTCGGGAAAGCAAGACAAGCTTTCATTTCTCTCAAGTCTGTGTGGAGGTCAACAGCACTACTTTAGCATGAAAAATAAGATCCGGATTTTCAACTCAAATGTGAAGTCAGTGCTACTTACTATACCGATCAGAGACTTGGCGCGTCATAAAGAGCAT